AAACCAGTACTTTTTCCGAATAGCTTTTCAATGACTTAAAATTTTGTTTACAAATGAGAAATATAAAATGTACTCTCCATTAAGTGCGCGCGCGCGCACACACACACACACACACACACACACACACTTCTATTTGTTACAGTGAGAAATTGAGGGTTTCTAGTTTAAGTGAATACAAGTGGAAATAAGACACAAGACTGCCAAACTCGTGCTACTTTATGTGTTAATATTAATGTCAATGATAACGGTAGCAATAAGAGCAGTGGGCATGTGGGTTTTTAGTACATTCCAGATCCATTTACAAATGTTACCTAATTTAATTGCAACAATTAACTAAAGACAGGCAGTATTCTCACCATTTTATAGCCGGAGACAATTTTGGCCATTATGATTAGAGCTGAAGTTCTCGTTCATGCTGTTCACTGCTCTGCACACCATCCTCTGTGAGTCTCATAATTGGGCATCTTGAAAATAATGTATGACTGGTGGAGAAACCATGAAGACCCAGACCCAAACTCCTAGTCCCAGTAGCCTTCAGTTCCAATGACTTGGTGAGTCGAGCACACCCGTTTTTCCTGGTGTGATCCCATTAGGCACTAATGGAAAGGTAGAACCAGAGGGGCCCCGACCTGGCTCTGGCATCCTCACAAGCATCCCACACTGTTCTCACCTGAGGCTGGTTTTCATGGGTGAGTTGTATTTCCCTGCAGCTGGTTTAACAAAGAAGACTGCAATTCTTAACCATTTATCCATTCATTTCCCAGACAAATTGAGTTTGAAAAGGGTGATTGGAGTCTATTTAGATAGTAACTTCTTGCTACCAGAGTTTGATAATATAACCCATTCTGTTTAATAATACCCTCTAAATATACCCTCCTCTATGGAGTAATAATAAGAAATAAAGCTGAGAAGGGGAGCAACAAAAGAAAATTAGGCAGCTCCTGTAATAGATCCCCACCCCCCCCACCCCCAAAGAGGTTAAGTCAATCAACACACTATAGCCATGTTCAGGGTATGTATAACACACACAGAGTGAGTATAACACACATCGGGACAAGATACTGGTTCTACCTTCACGAAGCTCACTAGCTATAGCCATATCCTCCCTGAGTGATGGTCAAAGGTAAGCTTATTCTCATCACCAGTCATTGAACACTTCCTATGTTCTAGGCATTGTGTAAATAGTCTTTATCTTTCTAAGATCTCACAGCAATTTCAATTACTATACCTATTTTTCCGATGTGAAATAAAAGTGAAAGAAACTTGTTCAATAATTACTATCAGATACCATTAGCAATGATGAACTCTTACTTCAACGCAAAGTCTGCTTTGCAGGAAAACTTTGGTCCCAACCATAAGGCTATTCTACCTCTCTTTAGGTAGGAGGAGACAGTGATTGGTGCTGAAAAACAGATACGGGTTTGAATTCTCAGATCATCAAACAACATTATAAAAAAAACCTCATCCAAATCAAAACTGGTGATCTTAATTTTCATTACTGCCCCTAATTTTGCTGGAGCAAAATAATGGCTGAAAACTGTAGACTGGCCCTGGTATTCAAAAAGCTGTAAGCATCAACCGCATGGATTTAGTTTCATTTTCTGGACTTTGTGGTCCTGGGCAGCTACTACTACAGTCTGCGAGAAGTTCCTAGATACGAGAAAAGTAATTGGAGAAGCAGTGCAGAGATGTTTGTAATGAGGGACAGGGGTAGGAAGGTGAACTGAAAAGGAAGACGGTCTTCCTTTTTAAAAACAACTTGCCATGTTTCCAAGAACACTTTGACACTTCTGAACAAACATAAGATTCATATTTTCCTAATGCCTATCATTCCTTAAAGTATACGTTTCAAACAACTACCTTTGGGCTACAGAGTATTTTTAAAACCATTATTTAAGTACATTTAAACAGGGCCTATCCTTTTTAATCTCACCGCTTCCCTACTACTGTATACCTGGCCCGCTTTGAGTTATAAGCCTTGCTCCTGCAACGTTTGCATCCATGTGTTTGCACTCTGCTGTCAAGTCTTTCCTGGAAATATTTATACATAAATAAAACAATCTTCTCAATATATTACTCAAGCCATAGATCCCTATTGAGCAATAATTAAATTGAGAGTTTTGTCAAAAAGGCATGCAGATATAAAGTCTATACATACATGGAGCTTAAGCTCAATCTACTGTTGGGATACATCCACCAAACACACTTTGGTCCTAATTGGCCATGCTGAGCCTGGTGGCATAGGAGGGCAGCAGCTCAAAATCACCAGCTGGTCACTGAGAGAAAGGCAAGGCTTTCTATTTCTGTAAGGTAGTTACAGTCTAGGAAACCCACAGGGACAGTCCTACCCTGTCTTCTAGGGTCCCTAAGAGTTGGAATCAACTGAATGGCTGTGAGAATGAGTGAGTGATGGGTTAACACACTGGGTTGCTAACTACAAGGTTCAAAGTCACCATCTGATCCATAGGAGAAAGATCAGACGTTCTGCTCCTTTTAAGATGTATAGCCTTGGAAACCCACAGGCAGTTCTACTCTGTCCTACAAGGTTACTGTGAATCAGAATCAACTGGATGGCAGGGAGTTGAGTGCGAGCAGCATATTAGCAGGGGGATGAGTCTGGAGCTATTCTCTAGGAGTGTTGGCCAAGAGACTAAAAGGCAAGCGTGTGAAGTTCTATACCTACATGGAGTTGAAGCTCAATTCCCTACATGCAGGTGAAGCTCAATCTTTTTAATTATCATCACTTAAAGAAAACACAATTGAATGTTTTACTGGAGATGAATGAGGGAGTGAGGAGTGAGTACTGGAGCGATGCCCAACAATGAACCTTCCAACTACAGAAGCTACTCAATGTTTCTCTTCATGTTGGCCAGGAAATGAGAAGTCAGCTTATATGATCACCCATCACACCTCAAATAAGAGTATCCATTCGTCTCTAACACATCCTGTCCTTTCCTCTGCAAAAAGAGCTCTTTCACCTTAAAGATATTGTGTTGAGATTCTGTGTGTCGACACAGAGAATCCAGGGCAGATAACCCCCTCAGGAAGAGTAATGGGAGTAGTGTTACCATGAGTGTAGGGAGAAGATGGGGGGACAAGGGGGAGAAAGGGGGAAACAATCAGAATGATCAACCTTTAACCCCCACCCCCTTACCCGAGGAGGAAGAACAATAGAAACATAGGTGAAGGGAGACAGCAGACAGTGTAAGATATGAAAACAGCAATTATTTATAATTTATCAAGGGTTCACAAGGGTGGAAGGGGGGAGGGGGGAGGGCAAAAAGAGGAGCTGATACCAAGGGCTCAAGTAGAAAGAAAAGGCTTTGAATATCATGGTAACAAATGTGATTGATACAATCAATGTATGGATTGTTATAAGAGCTGTAAGAGCCCCCAATAAAATGATAAAAAAGATATTGTGTTTGACTGTGTCTGACAGATTTATGGATCAAGGAACTTATTAGTCACAATCAAAACGTCAGAGTGCATATATCTCTGGTCTAATTGTGTCTAATATTTTAAAGGAAAAAGAGATTTGTTCTCAATGCTTATCCTTCATCATTCTCACATGCCAAGCCTTCTTTGTCCTGAAATGGTTGGGAACAGCTGCATCATGGCACCCATATCAAAAGGGGAAGGAATGCAGAAAACAAAGGTTCAACTTTCAGTCAACTACTTAAGCAGCATTGTACAAATTTTCATAAAGTCAATCATGCTTGATGGATTATTTTCAAATTAAAAAGGGAACCAATGTCAATGAGTGATCCTTTTCATTTACAATGTTCTATGCAGAACTCACTTAATGTTTGATAACTCCTCATAATGCCCAAAATATAAATTATCAAATTTTTTCTATTCAAAATTTAACTATTAAGACAAAATAAAAATACAAAGCAAGATTAAACAAAACTCTAAATAATATCATTTAGGCTACTTGGTTCTTTTGTGACATCTGTTTAAATAATATATATGAACTTCAAAAAAGTAAAATGTTATGAGTAGACCCCAAAGCAATATCCTATGAGTGACTAAACCATTTTAGGGATATTTAGGATTATTTATACAAAAAATTATCCCATTGTCTCCCTGAACTTAATCTAATCTAAAGCACTCAGCACTTCTCCTGTCTTAACTCATTATTCTCTATTGCTACTTTGTTATTCACAAGAGTTTAAACTCCATGAGCTTCAAGGCCTTGCCTATCTCATTTACCTTTGTATCTACTGCACTTGCCAACAGGTCGCATGAAGAACAGGAACTTGATATTGTCTTACTCATGGAGGGATGAATAACAGAAGTGCATGGTGGTGTGTGACACAACAAATAGATTTTGCTACACAACAGATTTTAATTCAATCACTCTGAGGTTGCAACTATTCTAACAGAATCATTTGAAATTGGAAAGGATTGCACACGTGTTTAAGTTGTGGTGAGGCCAGAACTAAGCATGTGTGTAGTTTATAGGATTCAAATCTGGGTCCTAAATTGAACCTTACAATCTACCTTAGCATCTTTAAGATGCTTGCCAACCAGAGGCTCTGTGATTATAAATAATGTAGAGCCCATGGTTGGGTCATGATGTAGACAGACTCATTAGGTCTATTTTTGATGACTGGAGTTCTGTAAACAGCTTTTCAAACCAAGGGGAAAATACTTTCTTAAATCTTTAAACCTATCAAAGTCAGCTTTGAGAAAATCTGTTCAAGGCTCCTGTCTATAATTTCTATTTGTGATACATTACCTTGTTGCACTTGAACCAAGGGTAGCTTAGGGTCAACTTTCTTAGAAGCGCTTGTTTTCAAAATGTGTGGACCCAAGGAATGACTTAATAGATCCAAGAAGCATTCCTTACTGATGAAAACTTTAACATTTTGGCCTCACGTAGAAGCAAACCATGCTATAAAGACGTGCCACAGCACGGCATTTAATCACAGAAAATGAGCACTATGCTTCATCCAACCAAAGTCTGCTTTTAATCACAGGGCGGTCAAGCCACTTACCACCAAAGAATAATAAATCTTGAATCCAGGTTTAGCCACAAAGTAGTCATCAGACTTGAACGTGATCTTAATTTGGTTTGTTCGTGATGTTATCCTTGGGGGCACGTCCTTGTGTCCGCACCATCGTCCTCTAATAACAGTGCTGGTTTCCGATACGTCTTCAACTTCCACAAAGTCATACCTAGAATCAATTTGGCATGCATGAACATTTTTTCATAAAAGTAAACCTTAATGTGCATATCGTCACCAAGATATTTAAACTAAGGTGCATAATTGCTCATGACCTTCTAGCTGAGCTGAAAATTACTATCTACATAAACATGGGAAGAAAGCTATGTTCCCCAAACTCAAATTTCAAAAATGTACTGGGTTATACAAAAACCTTTTCCTCATTCAGCTGCAGTTATTCCCAAATCATCAACCATTGAAATAGTCTACTTCCTGAGCATCTGTCTTATAACATTTTCCTGGGGAAAATAATAAGCATAAACTATTGACATACTTTAAGAGATGTAGTTCTAGGGAGAGAGTGGCGATGGTGGGAGGGTGGAGGGAGGGAGAGGGAGAAAGGGGGAACAGATGACAAGGTCTACATGTGGCCTCCTCCATGGGGGGA